ACTCTTTCATATTTCCATTTTAAATACTCGGCACATGTTGTTCCTATCCTTGGCCTCTCCAAAACATTTTTCTTTGTTCTTGTAATTATTTTAAGCAATAGCTATGTCCACAATAATTGGTAGACTGAACAGTATAAGGTGGAATGTGTCGGCTGAGAGTGTCACATGGCATTGCCTACTCACCAAATAAATGCCGTACAGACTCATTTGTTGACACACGGAGAATAGAAAATTCTTTCAATATTCTTTCCTAGGGTCCAAAGGAAGCTCAAGTACTTCTGAACACAAATCTTAATATCATCCAATAATGGGATTGCGCATATATTTTGTCAAAATTTAACTTTTACTGATAGTTAGATTTGGACCCACATTGCATATCAAAAGTCTGGCAAGCAAGCAACCAAAGATCATTAACAATAAGAAAAGTTTATGCCTAGCATCCTACCGTTCTGTAAACAGTTTTAATGAATTCATTGAAACTGAAAACAAAAACTTGTGAATTTGAGCTTTATTTGCACTTGTTATGGCATAGTTGAGGACAAAATATCGTTTATAAAAAACAATTGCCGCCAGGCGCACCACTGACATAACGAAACAAATTCCTAACTATACCTTCTACTGACCTAAAGTATAACTATATCTTAATTATTAGATTTGAACTAAATTTTAGACAATTCAAGTTGGAGATATGCTCAGAAAATGTCCCGATTCTGTTTAACCTATGAGACTATGAGTTAAACGTTTGATTGTTTGTGGATACAAACATATTATATACATATATAGATTTTAATTTATCTAGTAAATACATAAATGAGAATTGATATAATATGCGGGACAAAAAAATTACAAGGAAAAGATATATAGGTCTTGACTCTGGACATTGTTGACTAACTCAACCTCTTTATTCAACAAACAAATTGCAGTGCTCCATATACATAGTGGTCCTTTTCAATCCTTCACTATTAAGGAAACGTATCATAGAACTAAAATATCTAACACGAACAGTCATTATCTGTGTACGGTATCCTAAAGAAAATCTTAATGACATAGTGAAAAAGTAGACATTGATATTTAAAAATCTGAAATGTCCTTTTATTATCTTTCTGTTCACTGGCCTCCGGTTATGTTTCCTGTGGTCGACTTGTCGCGGTACAGTGGCAAAAGATGAATCCCTTAACATATAAAGAAAACCAAAGAGATATTTTTGACAAAATGTTTGCATACCAGAAGCACAATGCATATATTAGTGTAAAATTTTGTTTCCATATCTCATCCTACGCGCATGTATTAGTGTATTACTCAAAATGTTGGAACAAGATATGGTGGAATTCGCACGCTGCTGAAGTTGCTAATTGAATCAGTAACTACGTTTGACAACTTAATGTAAGTGAAAGGAAACCAAACTAATCACACATCCTAACGTGTCTTACTCCTTTTGGAAAAGAAAGCTGAAAGGGGAGCTCTATCACTGTATGGGGACCATGATGGCAACAACAGAGAAGAATTTCCAAAGGAATTATCCAAAAGCATATGCCAGTAAACAAATTTCTACCGAATATCCATTCCTAATATGCGAATAATACAAAGTATATTGCATCATTGTGATGCTTTGCAGCAGAGCAAGCTCAAGGGCTACCAGGTATCAGGTATGCTTCAATTTATGAGGTAGAGAAGAATAACAGTGCAATTCTCCATTGGCAGGGTGCAGCTTGTATTCTAGCTTACATGATAATTGCCTTTCTGCCAAAGGAGAATTGCCCTGCCATTCTTCAATTCTACCATATTAGTAATTACATTTCATAATGGATTGTCATCTTAGTGAGTTTTTAATTTTATTGAAGTTTGTGATCGGTTAATGATGAGTGGTGAGTATATGTCTACAGTCTACATCTTTATGAAGAATAATAGTGCATTTCTGCATTTTTTATTTTTTATTTTTTTAATGTGAATGTCTTCATGTTTCCTAACCTTAGTCTAATTTCATTTCTTTGACAGTCCACCATATACAATAATCCTGTGGAGTAGTGTCCACCTTCAAAGCAACCTATTCGCCTCGTTCACTGTGGCTTCTTTTTTCATGGTTTTTTGATACCAAATTTGTGAGAACATGCTTCCACCAATGTTTTGGTATGTCACTAGCAAATGCAACAACTAACATAGCATTGATGGATTAGACATCTTAGTTTCTAATTGACTAAAGAACACAGCTTTTTCGTTTACTGTTGGTATTTAAGCAATTTAATGTCCTCTTAGGCAGATTTGGAAACTTCAAAGGAAGGTCTTGAGCTATAATAAGCCATTGATAATTTGACTGCCTTTAGGTTTAACTCATCCCCTAGGGTTGGCTGTAATCAAGTTGTGTTGGTTGTTTGTCCCAGTAAGTTGTGATATTTTAAGGAGGATTTGCATCTTGGTCTCTCCAAAATTTGATACTCATTCCTTTGTTATTATCTGAATTATTTTTATTCAATCGCCTCTCCTTTCCTGAATCAAGATATCATCTAATGCATGTATCTGTTTGTGGACACAATCAATTGAAAAGTAATTTAAGATTATCGGGAAACCATTGTAGCTACTAGATGAAAATAGTATCCCCAAAAGCAAGATCACACTTTTCTTAAAAGATGAAAAGCGGCAATCACTAATGATCGTGCTTAATTTTGCAACTTGGTGCAAAGTTGACATTTGGGTGAACTTTTGTGTACATTAGTTAGAGAAAAAGTGGTACAAAAATTCTATGTGTTTTTAATCAATCTTGGGAATGTGTGAAAATTTTGTAAAATCGTGTCTGTTAATCACAATGCATATATATGCAACTCTAATTGATGAATTTGGTGTTCGAAGAAAGATATTAAGAAAATCGAACTAATAAAGTAAAGGTATTGAAACTACTACCTTACCGGTGTGTAACTATGGGAAAAATCAGTCGTAATTACGTTGGATGAATGAGAGGAAGAATTAATCTCTCAATGGAATTTCGCTTAAAATTGACAGTAACTGCACCTAATATTGGAGTCCTTGATTACATTGGTTTTTGATCTGTGCGTGTTTCTGCACCTAAAATCTATTGTAATTACGGTTTGAGCTTTTTGATTGATATAAATTCGTGATTTTAACTATATTGACTGATTTTGGGGGCTGATGAGAATTGAAAGGATCAAGGGTTCTCTCTCGAAGACCTAGGGTTGTGAAAATAACATGCCTTGTGGAATCTCAATTCATCACCATGGATGCAACTTTCTTTTTATCTTTTTTTCTTCATTTTCTCTTTTTCCATTATGAGGTGCTGAATTCTTTTAAGAGGGAGATGAGAATCCCAACATGAACTATTTGTAATTATATTTGTTCCTAATTCAAGTTTATCTCATTTTTATTGATTCAATTCTTGCTTTAATCTTCATGCTTCTATCGAATTGGTCATTCCTAAATGATGTTAGATGTCTAATTACAATTAGAAAATTGCAATAGGGATTATTAAATATTAGGTTAAGTAACATAATTGGTAATGCTCTAGAATCCTGATTACTTGAATGACAGATGAGAAAACTTATACCCTAACGTCATTTGCACAAAGCTATAATTTGGTTTATTCAATTGTTTCACGATATTGTAATTCTTTATAGTTTGATTTTAAAAAAATGGTACTATCGTGTATATGTCAGCCTAACTCCTTATTTCATATTGTAGATAGTTCTGATCAAGCGATCGTAACCTAATATATAAACGTCTCCAGGTGAACTTGTAAGGTCATAAAATATTGATTGACCTTTGAAAAGAAAATTCCGAAGCATGTTGATTCCCTTTCTCTTTTTATGCTGAAAGTTCCTTCTGCTGTCTGTGGCCTCCTAATGAACGTTGCTTTCTTTTGTGCTAAAACTTGAAGCAGCATTCGCGTATATATAGATTCTAATATGCATGGCCTATACATCTTTATGTGGCAGCGACTCTTTGGTTGAGTTAGAACTTTCAACGTGTGATAATTGTGTATGCAGAATTGAGGTGAGGAGTGTTAATAATAAAGGCATAAATTTGGGAGCAAAACAAACTCTCTATATTCTCATTCATGTTGCAAATAAAATTACACTTATTTGTAGCTGACAAAAACAACGTTTACATATTTTAAATGCCTCTCATAATTCACACCATTAATATTATTAAAACAAAATAAAACTCCTAATTTAAGTTTCATAACAAATCTCCCCCTAAACTTAAATGCTTCTCCTATCTCTCATTCCAATCAGCTTTTTGCAATTTTCCAGCAGTGTAGTCGGCAGTGACTTGGTAAATATATCTGCTGCTTGAACTCGGCTTCCGACATGCTCCAACTCGACTTTTCCTTGTCCGATCTGCTCTCGGATGAAATGAAATCGGACGTCAATGTGCTTGCTCCTTCCATGATTAACCGGGTTCTTTGCCAACTCGATTGCCGACTTGTTATCAACTCGGATCACAATCGCTTTATCTCGGATCACTCCCATATGCCTCAGTAAATTTGAAAGCCAAACTGCATGACATACACTCCAAGATGCTGCCACGTACTCGGCCTCACAAGTTGACAGAGTTACAATAGGCTTCTTCTTTGACAGCCAAGTAAAAGCCGTATTCCCGAGTAGAAATACATAACCCGAGGTACTTTTCCGATCATCAACATCTCCACACCAATCACTGTCCGAGTAACCCACTAATCGGTAGTCGTCCGATTTTGAATAGAAAAGACCAAGTGATAGGCTTCCTCGTACATATCTCAAAATTCTCTTCAAGGCCTTCCAATGTGTGTAGCTCGGATCCTCCATGAATCTGCTCGTTATCCCAACACTCAACATTAAGTCGGGTCTCGTGCTTGTAAGGTACCTCAGACTTCCGACTAAGCTCCGATATCTCCCAGAATCAGCTCGATCTCCTCCATCAAACTTTGAAAGTTTTGTGCCTGGTTCCATTGGAGTAGAAACCGGATTGCAATCCTCCATTTTAAACTTCTTTAGGATTTCAAGTGCATACCTTTCTTGGGATATAAAAATCCCTTCATCCGATTGCTTCACTTCTAGGCCAAGAAAATATTTCATCAAGCCTAAGTCAGTCATCTCGAACTCCTTTTCCATTATCTCCTTGAACTCCTTAATCAGTTTAGCATTACTTCCAGTGAATATGAGGTCGTCGACATAGAGAGCAACTACCATCATATCTTTTCCTGAGTTCTTTATGTATAAGGCATGCTCGTACGGACATTGCTCATACCCGTTCTTCTTGAAATACCCATCAATCCTTTCATTCCAAGCACGAGGAGCTTGCTTCAACCCGTAGAGGGCTTTTCTCAATCTCAGCACCTTCTTTTCTTCTCCTCTCTTCATGTACCCGAGTGGTTGCTCAACATACACCTCCTCCTTCAGCACTCCATTTAGAAAGGCTGACTTCACATCCATCTGTAGAATTTTCCATTGTCTCTGAGCAGCTAACGAGATCAGAAGTCGGATTGACTCCATTCTCGTGACAGGAGCAAAAACCTCATCATAGTCAACTCCTTCCTTTTGTTTATAGCCCTTCACAACAAGCCGAGCTTTATAACGCTCAACCTCTCCCTCAGCATTCAACTTCTTTTTGTACACCCATTTTACTCCAATGGGCCGAGCTCCTTCAGGAAGGTTGGTCAATTCCCAAGTTTTATTACGCTCAATCGCTTCAAACTCCTCATCCATAGCTGTTCTCCACTTCTCATCTTGGACAGCTTTCTCAAAACTCAAGTCTTCAGAGTCGGCAAGAAGACATACAGCATGGACTTCACTTGTAGTGTCGTAAATTTCCCTCAGGCTTCTCATCCTTGGCTGTTGTAGCTCGGATTCTTCATCTGAGAGCTCGGTCGTAGTTATTGTTGAAGGTACAACAATGTCCGAGCTATCCGAGCTAGTTTCTACTTCGGCCGAGTTACTCCAACACCATTGCTTTGTTTCCTCCACGTGAACATCTCGGCTCACCACCACCTTTTTGTTATCAGGATCAAATAACTTGTATGCTTTGGATTTTTCATCATATCCAATAAATATATACTTCTTGCTTCGATCTTCTAACTTTGTCCTCTGCTGTCTTGGTACTTGCCCATAGGCCAAGCTACCGAACACCCTAAGATGAGAAACACTTGGCTTCATGCCACTCCAGATCTCCTGAGGCGTCTTCTCTCCTAGCTTTGCATGTGGGCATCTATTTTGCACATAGACTGCACACTGCACTGCCTCTGCCCAAAACTTCTTCGGCATATTCTTCCCTTTCAACATAGATCGAACCATATCAAGAATAGTTCGGTTCTTCCGTTCCGCTACACCATTTTGCTGCGGAGAATATGGGGCAGTCAAGAAACGCTTAATCCCATGTTCCTCGCAGTATTTGTTGAACTCAAAGGAAGTGAACTCGCCACCTCGGTCAGATCGGACTGCTTTGACAAATTTACTTGTCTCTTTTTCCACCATCACTTTGAATTTCTTGAAGGTTTCAAACACTTCTAGCTTCTCCTTCAAAAAATAAACCCACGTCTTTCTTGAGAAATCATCAATGAAAGAGAGGAAATACTTCTTACCACTGAATGATTCTGGAGTTATTGGGCCACACAGGTCGGTATGGATCAGTCCGAGTTGCTCCTTTGCTCGGTACTCAGAACTCCTTGGGAAAGAAGTCCTCGCGTGCTTCCCGATCACACATTCTTCACAGAACTTCTTTTCAAACTCCATTTTAGGCAGTCCAATCACCATCTCCTTTTTCACCAGCTCGGTCAAACCCCTAAAGTGAAGATGACCGAACCTCCGATGCCACTTCATGGCCTCATCCTCCAAATCAAGTTGCATGCATTCATCTCGAACTATTTTCAGCTCAAGTTTGTACATGCGATTTTTCTTCATTTCTACTTGGGCAACTAGTCTCCCGAGTTTATCCTTCAGTTGTAGTTCTCGGTCTTTCATCAGAACCGAGTACCCTTTCTCCATTAACTGTCCCATGCTCAATATGTTGCTTTTGAGATCGGGTACGTAGTATACATCTCTGATCTCTCCGATTTTCCCATTTCTCTGTTGATATCGGATCGTTCCTCGGCCTTTAACAGTTACTTTTGAAGCATCTCCGAAAGAAACAGATCCGACCTCCTCCTTTGAAAGCATTTTGAACAAGTGCTCGTCACCACACATGTGATTGCTTGCTCCGGTGTCCAAGTACCAAACAGAGTTATCAGTACAACTCGGTTTGATCTCGGTTTCTGGAATAGTTGTCACCAGCAACAATCCTTCATCTTCTTCCTCGGCAAGGAAGTTGGTTGGTTCCTCCTTTTTCTTCTCGGACCTACAATCTTTGGAAATATGACCCAGATTTCCACAATTGTAGCATTTTATCGAGTAACACTCCTTGGCCACATGTCCATACTTCCCACAGTTATAACATTCAATAATGTTATTTGTGTTTGATCGGCCACCCCAGGTCTGACCTCGGCCTCCCCGCGCTTGACCTCGGCCACCCTG